GCTTTTAAAAATCGCTTTATGATGTTTTCGTTCTACAGCGTTTTCGCTGGAACGAATTAACATCGTAATGCGAGGCACCACTGTACTATTAGTATGATGTTTTCGTTCTACAGCGATTTCGCTGGAATGAATTAACATCGTAATGCAAGGCACCACTGTACTATTAAACAAGGTCAGGTCCATGAGGACCCAAACTTTGAGAAGAGAAAAGGTTAAGTAACTCCACACACAAACCCATCACTCCTCCATTTGGGGGGGGGGAGCTCAGTTGCACACTCCATGCTTTGCATGCAGAGACCCTAGGTTCAACTCTCTGCATCCACAGGTAGGGCTCGGGGAGATGCTGCCAGCCAGTGTTGATGATACTGGATTAGATGGACCAGGGGTATGATTTCGGTGCAAAGCCTTTTTTCCCCCAAGCAGCTTTTTCAAGCTAAGCTGGTAAACAAAAGGGCTCTTGGGCCCGTGATACTCTCTAAGCATTGTACTACACTGCCTCTCGGTTTCTTTCAGGCTCCCTTGTGTCCCCAGACTGGATGATCTCAGCAAGTGGGAGGTGTCTGACTGAATGAACTTCCATGCCCATGTCTTGTCCCACCCTGGGTGAAACAAGGGAAGCTGCTGGCTAGTGCAGTCCCACACCAAGGCAAGGGTAAAGCAGGAAATCTTCAGCTCACCAAAGCAGACACCCGGGCAAGGCCATCCAAAGTAGTCAATAGTCCAAGAAGCTGTCCAAAGGGTCAAAAGGTTTTGGCAATCTTGTTGTACGCTGCCCAGAAGCCACTGGTAACGGTGCGGCTTTAAAAAATACTGTAAATAAATACCGTAAATAAATAAATCCAAAGCACGCAGGAACAAGATGGCGGCTGTCAGGCAGGTTGCTTCCAACAGATTTCAGAGCCCACTGAAGACTGTTTTGTACTTGTGCAGCTGAAGCCCCACCCAGCACCCCACTGCAGCTGTTCAGGTGGCAAGACGAAAACCCAGATACAGGATTTGGCCCCCTAAGTCTCTCTGGGAGAAATAGCCGACTCACAGGGACCAATCACATGTGAGTAGACCATCTTTTTGCAACAGGGCAAAAAGATGCTCCAAGGCACGTCTGTGCTTTAAATTTACCTCACACCCAAGGGGATCGTCCCACCTCCTTTTTGGACTTAGTTTCTGAGCTGCCACCATCCATGGGCTCAGGCTTCTGTTTTTCTGAGGATCCGGGATCTCAAAGGTCCAGCAGGCCCTCCACCCCCTCAGGCTAGATGAGTGGAGACCCTATTGATCGGCCCCTCTCCGTCCCAGCCTGTTCTGTCGCTGATCCCCTCCAGCAACGAAATTTTGCATTGTCACTTGTCTTCCCTTGTCACTCGGATGGCCTCCCGTTAAAGCAGAAGGCCTCTCAAGGCACGTTCAAGATGCACAAGATTTCCCCCTCAGGCTAGATGAGTGGAGACCCTACTGATCAGCCCCTCTCCGTCCTGGCCTGTTCTGTCGCTGATCCCCTCCAGCAGCGAAATTTTGCATTGTCACTTGCGAAATTTTGCATTGTCTTCTCTTGTCATTCAGATGGCCTCCCGTTAAAGTAGAAGGCCTCTCAAAGCACCTTCAAGATGCACAAGATTTCATCTTTGGCATGCACACTCATCAGGGGTGAATACCATCCACGAAACCTTAGACCAGGTCTTTAAGGCGCCATGCACAAGGTCCCAGGGAGGGTGACTCAAGTCACGTGACTCGCTCTCGAGTGCACCAGCAACTCGACTCGGACTTGACTCGGTGGGGGTGGGTTCCGGTGACTCTGACTCAACTCACAATTCAGACCCCATCATCTGTGTTGCGTTTTTGAGTCCCTATTCTTTTAATCAAGGATGCCCCATAAACCTGGAAGACGTTTTGCGATGCTTACTCTTTGGCATGCACACTCATCAGGGGTGAAAACCATCCACGAAACTTTAGACCAGGTCTTTAAGGCACAACGTCCCAGGGAGGGTGACTCAAGTCATGTGACTCGCTCTCGAGTGCACCCGCAACTTGATTCGGACTTGACTTGGTGGGTTCCAGCGAATCTGACTCAACTCACAATTCAGACCCCATTTTCTGAATTGCAT